AATATATATATATATATATATATATGCAGCAACCCCAGCCATGGACGGAAGTTGACTCCCCAAACACATATCCAATCATCCAGTGCTGCTGCAACAGAAACAGCTCAGGGAGGGAGGGACACCAACTTTTGCGTGCAGCAGCAGCGCAAGCCTGTGGCTACAAAACAGGTGCACCAAGAGGTGCTTGCTGCAGCAGCTGCTGCTGCTACAACCACTCGCTGTCAACACCATGGCGGCTGACAGACGCTCGCATTATGTGTACACGCTGTTTAGTACAAACATATATAAATTGAAGACGTCGATTACGAAGACTGTCCCCAGATGAACTGCAACCCATAAAAGCAATGGCGATCCTACTTTGTAGAATTGTTGCTTCCGCTGCACCAAAGATGAAGTCTTGGCAACTAGCGCAGGGCGACCCGGAACGTGAGCGGAGCCCTGAATACCCGCAGTTCCCTGGGCTTGCTGCAACACCTCAAGCTGTTGTTGTGTGCCTTGGTGAGCTCCAAAAGGTCGCAAAGCAACAGCGGACGCTGCCGCTGCTGCGTCTCCCAGCTCCGCAGGCTGCTGCGAAGGGGAGGGAACGTTCGGCTCGCCCAGCCCCGATGACCTTTCTTGCCACTGTTGCTGTCGGTCATCGTGGAGCTGTTGCTGTTGTTGTTGTGGCTGCTGTTCATGGGCACTCTCCTGCGGAAGGGGGCTCTCAACCGGGTGTGGCGAGTGGGACCCCTTGGGAGAACGGCGAGAGGCCATTGATACGATACTGCTGCTGCTACTGCTGTTGCTTAGACAGTTCGTGCTGGTTGTTGGTACGGCTGTCATTGGGAAGAGAGCTGCAGCTGCCGTCATTGCCGCAGCTGCGAACGCCGCGCAGGGTGTTGCTGGGGTGTCTGTGCACTTCCCAGATCCCCTGGCACCTGCCAAATTGAACACGCGGCCTTGAGGCCTATTTTCCTCTACGGAGGAACAACAAATGATGGCCTCTACCACGAAGAGGGCCTCGGGGAGTGTGCTGCGCGTGTTTGCAGTTCGTGCACCAGGATCGGGTCCTACGGTCTAGAGCTCGGATGAAGCAGAGGGTATGGGCTCGGATAAGGTCCCCTAAATTTCCTCACTTTGGTTTTTTCTGAGGTAAAGACCCAGAAGAAGCCGCTACAAATATTTAAAAGGAGATCTACTGCGAGCGGGGCGACGTAATGGGAGCGAGTGGAAAAGGGCTGCTACTAGGCGCAGATGCTTCAAGATTGAGAGTAGCTGTGTCCACAGCCCCTTCAAAATAACACACATGTAAAGCACAACAAATGCGTAAGGGAACTGCACGCAATAACATTCAAAAAACCCGCTATCGGCCAACTAGTAGAAGAAACCGTTGTGGGGCTGCTAAGCGCTGGACGACTGCTAGCGGAGGCCCCTGTGCTTCCTCGTCTGCAGAAAGTAAGGCGGAAATTAAAAAGGGCAGATATCTTAAGCCCACAAAAAATCGAAAGGCACAAAAAAAAGGACAGAGAGGAACCCACCCCGGCCTCAACTCCATCGCGCCTCCCTGAGCCCCGCAGAGCGGAGGGGGGCCCCGGATTCGACGAACAACGGACAAACGCACTGTAAACAAAGGCAAGGTTGGCTCTATTTTTATTTACGCAAACAACCTAAGGGAACAAAAGTAAACCAATATGAAATGTTTCCTCAACGCACAAAGTTAAGCTGTGGAACATGAGCATTGGGTAGAGGGTAGAAAACTACACCGTACTCCAGGGGAACCACGGGAACGTTTGCAGGCCGCGCGGTACTGCTTCTGCTTTTGCTATTGGTGATAATAGAGCTATTACAATAAGTGTGGGCATCTTGGCTTGCCTTTTGTTGGTTTGGTAAGAATACAACACTACATCAGACCAACTAGCAGCTGCAAGGCTGCCGTGTATAGGTTGGTGGGTAGGCTATTGTGGAGCGTAGTCTGCCATGTTGGCAGGTCTGTCTGAAGTCCGCACATAAATCACTACTCCTCCATAGTAAAGGAACGGTGAGCACGCAAAAGTTCTGAACAACTGTCAACAGTGACTGTACATCAGGCGAACAAGACCTGTATGCGCTCATATGTGGGGCTGTTATGCACCACTTCAGTTGCATCAAGGTTTGTTGCAACTCATGACAAGCCACATTTTCTCCCACAGCTCCAGGCGCTTGTTCAGCTGAGCACAGCGCATACTGGTGAAGGTGGCAAGCCGCTGTATAGGAACTGATCTTAAGTACATGACTCTTTCTCCTCATGCAAAGGGAATATTGGTCAGGATCTGCATCCCGCAAGGAGGCTGCAGATTTGGGACGCTTTTTTGAATTGTATACAGCATGCTTAGCCAATATTGCATATTTAACAAAACTAGTGTTTAATGCCTGCGCCTTTGCCGGCCACTCAAATTGAACATACATCGAGATGCGTACATCGAGATGCAGGAACACCAGCGGAATCTCTTGCCTATATGAAATTGTAATTTTGCCTTTATTGTTTGCTTTAAGAACTACAGGTGGGAAGGCATGTCAGTTGAGGCTAGACATATTGAAGGGCACTACTGTTCCATAGCACACTCATAGGGAAACTTTTCAACATGAGCTGCTATGTAAATTGAACCCAAGGCTGCCGCAAGACCGAAGTACAGCATCACTTCTTTTGTGAGTAAAGTTCCAATGGTGAACTGGGAACAATCCCTAATCAGCTTAACCATACCAGAAAAACAGAAGGTGGAAAGTTCGAATTTGCACAGGTGACCGTCAACTTTTGAATCAAAGCAACAAAAAAGTCGCCATTTCCACTGCCCTAATTGAGGAACAAAAGGTGCAAGGTATAACTCATGTACTGCCCGTATGGATGTTGGCGCCGTGCGTACCAGTCGTGCTCAGAAGCAAGAACGAAGCGAGAACACGCGCCACCCGACAAGTCCGAAGCTCAGAAAGCGGAGAGAGCATACAGGCCGGCACGTCTGCTCCCTTCGAAACGAGCAAGCTCAGGTTATTCGAGGTTTCAGGTGCACAAAAGCAATTCTACACTGCCAGTGTTGAGATGAATATATATATATATATATATATATATATATA